TCAAGACTTACTGTTTGTTAAAACGAATTGGAAAAAAAACTGAGATTCGCAAGGGAGTTGTGACAGTGAAAAAACAACTTGAAATAGACAACTGATCAGACAGACAACTGCGAGAAAACAAGCAGGCCAAGGCTACTTGGAGATAGACGATTGAACAGATGGAGAAGTGCAAAGGTATAAGCAGGCAACACAACTAGTAGAGATAGACAATTCTGACTATAGAAGCAGGGAAACACAACAAGAGAAGACATTCAAAAGCTACACGAAGGGCACTGTATGATCACAGCAGCGGAAGAAGGACTACCTGAAGATTGATAAGGCAAAAAACTGGAGGGATAATCTCGCTTCTACACGTTTGCTCTTTTCTGACACAAAATCAATGCAAAGAAAACATTGCCATAAGATAAAAAACAAACTGATACCCCAGAAAGTAAGCATGAACTTCTGTAATGATAATATATATTTTATCTAGTATGAAATCTGAGGAGGGACCTTAGCCATGCAAAGTTGCCGATGTGTTGTTCGGTACGCAGAACGCTTGGTTCCGAATATACTTGCACAATTACATAAGCGGGCGATATTGATGTTTAATAGATATTTTTTGATGTAAGAAAAAACGGGGTCATTGAATTTTACCTAGGCAATACTTAGTTTTTTGAACTTCGGTTGGAGCCTAATCTTTGTATATGACTTAAATAGGAAGTAAAAACTTGGATCAGCAAAAAAGTGTCGAAACCTGAAAGGATAGTTTTTTTTCTATATTGAAGAGGATTTTTTCTATATTGAAGAGCAATTCGAGGCAAAAATTTTTCACTCAAAAATGAACAAGACTTTAGATAAGACTGTTGATTATAGGATACTTATACCAACTTTAAGACCGAATGCAAGCAGTGATCCAAAACAAGCTGCAATAAATAAAGGAAATAAAGGAAAATTAGTTGCAAATCTGGAAAGAACTTGTGCGCAGGAGACTACATTGGTCAGGAACTTAGGCGAGTTAGTAGGAAACAGGTAAAAAGTGGAAACGTTGGCTCCTAATACCCGTCAAGAGAACGGAAAGATAGAAAAAGCGCGATGAACAAATACTCCAATGGCTCGCTGCATGATATTTGATGCCACCTTATTGAAAACTAATATGCCTTATGCTTTTAATTTGGCTACCAATCTCGAAAGATTTTACCTTCATTCTGCTATAAGCAAAACAGCCTACAAGTCTATGTATGGAGAAAAACCCAACCTGAGTTTTGGATGTGTAGCGTATAGTTTTGTGGAAAAAACTAGACCAAAATTCTAAAAGAGGAATTTTCTTGAGATCATCGGAAAATAGTAAAAATTATCTGATAGGAATTGAGAATGAAGAAAACTCAAAATGCGAAAGTCTAGAAACGTCAGTTTTGACGAATCTAAATTCTATTTTGAGAAAAAAAATAGAAAATGATGAGGAAGAAAAAGTAGGTGATGTAGTATTTTTTGGAGAAGTTCTCAAAAAAATAGAACAAAAATGCTAAGGAAGCTTTAGCAGACCGTGACTGGCAAGAAGCAGTGAAAAAAATTTTTATTCATTAGAGAAAATCAAACTTTGGGAACTAGTTAGAAAAAGAGGAGAAAAGCCTGTAGGAAGCAGATGGCAGTTTGCTTTGTATTATGGACCTAATGGTGAAGTTTCAAGGTTTAAGGCTAGGTTTGTCGCTGAAAGTTGTAGCCAAGTTGAGGGAAGAGATTTCACGAATTGTATTCGCCTGAAATTAAGATGTCGCCCATAAGAATAGTTCTAAGCTTAGCAGTTCAAAATAGGTATGAGTTGAGACAGTTAGACATTAGAACTGCACACTTGAATGGCAATATAGACGAAGATGGTCTTATGAAGCAACCTGAAGGGTTCGAGAAGTTTGATGAAGAAGGAAAACCTTTAGCTTGTCTTTTTAAGAAAATCCTTTATGGAGTAAAGCAGTCCGGTAGAAACTGGCATAGAACTCTACAAGGCTATCTAGATTGATTAGGCTTTGAAAAGTCTTTTTTTTTGAGTGCTTGTTTGTCAATAGGATTGAGGGAGAAATAAAAGGTTAAATTTGCTTGTGGGTCGATGATAGAGTGGTTTGTCGAGCGGAAAAAAAAATTTCTGTAACAGGTTTGAAATACAATAACTCTGACAATTTGCATTTAAGTGAGATAACTGATCATTGAATGGTTTTCAGGAATGAAAGTTGATTATTCAGGAAATGAAATCAGGATATTTCAGGAGAAATCTGTTGAAAAGTTGTCATCAAGATGTAAGATGTCCAAAGCAAAACACCGATAACAACCCCTTTTGGTGAAAACGAAAACCTAGCAAAAGAATATTGTCTTTTAGTAGGTAGCATAGAACAAGAAATATAAAAAAATGAAAAACTGATAAAGTAGACATGAAATTTGTTTTGCAGCAAACCTTTTAAGCTTTTTTGTGGAAAACCCAGGTGAAAAACATTGGAAAGCCGGAAAAAAAATGTCTGAGATATCTGCTAGTAACAAAAAGTTTACCATCAGTATATACGAGGGATAAGACGTTGAACCTTGTTAGCTAATTGGATGCGGACTGGGCTTGAAAAATAAACAATAGGAGAAGTACCTCAGGATACTGTTTTAAGCTCAGTGACAACTCAGGTGTAATAAGTTGGCCTAGCAGACTTCAGCGTTATGATCAACTTCAACAGCCGAAGCAGAATACAATGCTGTGGTCGAAACAGTATATGAAGGAATTCACTTACATAGCATAATTAGCAAGTTAGGCATAATATTTAATAGGTTTTTGAAAGTTATCGTTGATAACCAAGCTTGTATCGCCCTTAGTAAACATTCAATCAACCACGGAAAGACGAATCACTTTGCCATAAAACTACACGTTTTTTTAGAGTTAGTTGAACAGAAAAAGGTTACATTAGTTATTTTATTAACAACAAATAGGCCTGCAGTTTCATTGACGAATAACTTGGGAAGAATTAAGGCTGCATCTTTTTTGAGACATTCTACTAGGAACCACTCAAATTGAAAGGCGGGGTTTTGGTGATTTTTTGTAAGTGAAATGAAATTGATTTTTCTTATTTGGTTCAAACTGAAAAATAACTTCCAGATTTTTGTTAAAATTAGCTGGTGAAACATGACGTTTTATTCATTGGTTCGAGCAACTTTGTGCTGGTTACTTACCAATTATATTTGGTCTGAATTACTACTGGATCTATTACTCACATCTCATTAATTCACTCCTTATTAATCAACCGTTTATCGCTGCAATAACCTTGATAAGAAGTAATCCTATTAGTTTTGTCGAAAGTGAAATTGGGAAGAAAACTAAGAAAAAATTTCTGATATCAACGCGCATTAGGACTCCTGTTTTGCTCCTAATTTGTTTCATTAGTTGGACAATTGCGATGGTTTGGCTAATTTACGTTTGAACCAATTATGATAAATGATGAAGAAGTGCAGTTATTTCTGTTTTTAAACGAAACGTTGACTCTAATCCTTTGTGGCTGATCTGAGTTTGAATTTCAATCTGCAGTATGTTAAAGTCGTATCTGTAGAAGATCAAAACGGTTGTTGATAAGTTGTATTGGAGACAAACTGTTAGGCATCAAATCGAAATCTTACTGCACTCTTTTATTTCAGATCCCATCGGACATTACAGATCGCAAGGTCACGACAGCAGGTCCCCAGACAGAAAGAACAAGTTGATAGCACTTACATAAACTCAAACTGGTTTCTATCTTGAACAATTGATAGCACTTACATAAACTCAAAACTGGTCCCTATCTCATCCGGGCAACCACAAATAAATTTTAGACCGTAGATATAAAATTTATCAACTCACTGTTACTTTTTCTATTGTATAATGGTACTAGTTAAGTTTTAGTTTACATTGAGTTTTCAGGCACACCTGCCAAACCTCTCTTAAGGTTTTCTTTCTCCTTTTTCCTTTTCTTGTCAGTGGTCCTCATTTACGTTCTATTCGGTGGATCATAACTCCCATTTTGTCAACTCCGCGTCTCTGTCGTGTTGATTTCCTCGTCGCTGTTTCGCACTCGTTTTTTTTTCGTTTTCCACCGACGGATCTTGGTGATCTCTCCCTAGCCGTTCCCGATGGTACATTGCTTCCTTCGTTCGCCGTACTCTTTGATGGTTCATTTCGTTTGATTTCCCACTCGCTATCTTCGTCGTCCTCGCTCTAGTCCGCACTTTACTCCACTATCCGTTGTTTCGTCGATCTTATCGCGTTCTCCATTGCGACCCGATCCTTCTCGGCTTTGCGCTTATACTTTTTGGATTCACTTGGGCCCGGGGTACTATGTACATTTCTACTCGGTCCATGGTTGCACTCATCGCTTCTATTCTCAATTAGGCTTTCTTCGGCCTTAGTAACGACCCTTTTTTCATCTGCACCGTATACTAAGTCAATTTTTCAATTTTTAATGGCAAACTTTTATACCTTCTTGGGTCCTTTGGATCCGTTTTTCCAGTCCTCTGGTAAACGGTCGTTGAACTTGTCTTGTGCCTTTTGAGCCATGTTGGAGCTTTCGGTGGACTTATTTCCTTGGGGTCAACTACTTCCGGAGCCTTGGGTCCCGCTACCACGTCGTCATCCAACATGATTGGAGCTTTCCTATTTTGTGGAGCGTACACCAAATCACTTCTCTTCTCCCAATCTAGGGTGAGTTCTACTTCCGGGAGATTTCCCGCCTTGTCTAAACAAGATAACTTTTGGTTAACAACATTGTTCGAATTTAAGTTTTTCAATGACGGTTTTTTCGTTAAATTTCGCAGAGCCGTATTTGCTTCTCGTCCATGGCAGGCTTCAAATGGCGTTAATTTAGTTTTAGAATGTGGCACGAAACGTAGCGCGCTGAGCACACGGGATATCATTGCTCCAAACTTGTAGTTCTTATTTTCCTGAATATAAGTTAACACGTAGTTTTTTATCGACCCAATAGTTCGTTCGACCATTCCTGTCGCGCGATGATCCCTAACGGGAGATTTAATAAGTTCGATACCTTCGTAATTACAGAGATTGTGAATTTCATTTGAAAAAACCCAGTAGCCTGATCCATATGCAATTTTCTTGGGTGTCCATGAGTATTTATGTACTTCCTTAGGAATTTCAATACATTTTTGGATTTGTTGCTTGAACAAACATACGCCGACGGCGGATGCGAAAAAGTATCTACTGCTACAAGTACATACTTTTTCCGACCCCTTACATAATTTACTGGGCCCCAGAAATCGAATTGGACCAAATCATTTCCCCCATGTCACTTTTTGGAATGTCCGGTTTAAGGTTTTTACCTGCTTCTAAGCAACTTTTGCAGTATTTTGCTGTAGCAGTGATGTTCCGATGCATAAGGGGAATCCACACGTCTTTTGCGGCTGCAAGCATTTTATCACGCCCATGATGATTGTAATGTAGACGGTTTAGAATTGCTGATGACAGATCCTTCGGTATTGCTAACCGGCCGTCCATCCACAGGCAATTCTCACGTACTGCAAAAAGGAATTCATTTACATAGCATAATTAGCAAGTTAGGCATAATATTTAATAGGTTTTTGAAAGTTATCGTTGATAACCAAGCTTGTATCGCCCTTAGTAAACATTCAATCAACCACGGAAAGACGAATCACTTTGCCATAAAACTACACGTTTTTTTAGAGTTAGTTGAACAGAAAAAAGTTACATTAGTTATTTTATTAACAACAAATAGGCCTGCAGTTTCATTGACGAATAACTTGGGAAGAATTAAGGCTGCATCTTTTTTGAGACATTCTACTAGGAACCACTCAATTTGAAAGGCGGGGTTTTGGTGATTTTTTGTAAGTGAATTGAAATTGATTTTTCTTATTTGGTTCAAACTGAAAAATAACTTCCAGATTTTTGTTAAAATTAGCTGGTGAAACATGACGTTTTATTCATTGGTTCGAGCAACTTTGTGCTGGTTACTTACCAATTATATTTGGTCTGAATTATTACTGGATCTATTTCTCACATCTCATTAATTCACTCCATTTGGTTCCTTAGGCACATAAGTTTCCCCCATGTCACTTTTTGGAATGTCCGGCTTAAGGTTTTTACCTGCTTCTAAGCAACTTTTGCAGTATTTTGCTGTAGCAGCGATGTTCCGATGCATAAGGGGAATCCACACGTCTTTTGCGGCTGCAAGCATTTTATCACGCCCATGATGATTGTAATGTAGACGGTTTAGAATTGCTGATGACAGATCCTTCGGTATTGCTAACCGGCCGTCCATTCACAGGCAATTCTCACGTACTGCAAAATTGTTGTAGTGTTGGGCGTAGTATTATCCTAGTCTTGTTATTATCTCCTTTGCTCTTGGGTTTTTGTCTCTCATGTTATCCCTGATGGTCTTCATAATTGGGTCTTTTTCAATGTTTGCTTCTATCAATTTTAAATTCAAAACTTCCGGGTGTTCAATCTTTTTCACTATTTTACTGTCTGATGGCACTATAGAGTAGATCCGTTTGTCGTTTTGTACAAGTGGATAAGATAAACTGGGGAACTGGTGTGGAAAAGATATGATTGTATTTAATTTTTTAGAATTAGTCTGTTTAATATCAAGTTTTTTGGGTGGTATCATTTCAATATCGGAATCCGAACTAACACTAGGAGGTTGATTTAAGCGTTTCAGTACAATGTTTAGGTTCACATTTCCAGAATTAGTCGATGTGTTGACAATGGCCGAAGTTGGAGGATCATTTTTTTGGGCGAATTACTCATGTTTGTATTGTTTAAGTTACTCAAATTATTCAGAATTAAGGGTCTGCTACTGTAATTTTTTAAAGTAAATGGCTTTTCACTGTAATTTTGTAAATTGGAAGGTTTGCAACTGTAAATTTTCAACGTAGGAGGCTTGCTGTTGTAATTATTCGAAATTAAAGGGTTGCGATTGTAATTAATCAAACTTTTAGGATTGCAACTGTAATTTAAGCAATGAGAACAACGTCTGAATCTCTTTCTTCGGTATTTGCATACTTCCGCCGGTATGCAAATATCTCGACGCTGATTGGTTAACCGCCGGTTGCATGTAAATGAGCCCTCTTTTGAGCGTTCGTGCTCACGGTGAATATTTGCATATTCATCTTTTCTTTCATTCTCATTGGATGAAACTGATTTCGTTGTGTCGAAACATGACTGCTCGCCCCCTACCGTCGGTTTTGGCTTAATTTTATTCACTTTCTGACCCCTAGGCTTCATTTTATCCTTGGGCCTCAATGCCGCGTTTATCATTCTTATCTTCGCTACTGAAAAATTTTCATCGTAATGACTTGTCTCGGGTGCCTCTGCGGACGGAAACCGAGACAAATAGTCTGCCATCACCATTTTAGTCAGCCATCCCCAAATAGTCAGCCACCCTTGTCTATGTTCAACTTTAAAGTCGTATGGCACCGGTTGATCATACCATCAAGTTGATTGACTGAAAAACCTTTTATTTCCTTTTGGCGACGAATTCAACAATGTAAGTAGCGCTTTATGATCAGATATGACTGTGAAGTACCGGCTGTATATATAATTTCGAAAGTGTTCCGTAGCCCACACTACCGCGAGTAATTCTAATTCGTTTGTAGAGTTTTTTTTCTCAGCCGGATTAAGGTAACGGGATGCAAACGAAATCGGATGCCACCCGGATGCGCAATACTGTTCTAACACGGCCCCTAAGTCAGCGTGACTAGCGTGACAAATAATTCTAGTTTCACGGTGAATGTCGAAGTGTCGTAATTCGACAATATTTTCCACCAGCAGTTTCAATTGTTGGAACGCATTTTCGCAAACGGGCGTCCAGACAAAATCGTTATTTTGACTCAGTAGTGGCCTTAAAAGTGCGCTTAATTCTGCGAGTTTGGGTAAAACTTTGTGTAAACTGTGTAGTGAACCCATTAAAGGTTTCAACTGTTTTCGAGATTTTGGGGTTTTCAGGTCTTCTATTGCTTGTGTTTTTCTTACTAAAGGCGTGATGCCACTTTCCCCAATCCGATATCCGAGCCATTTGCACTCTGTTTTTGAAAATTCACATTTTCGCAATTTTAACGCGACATTGGAGACATCCAGCTTTTTCAATATCTTTCCACCAACACAATGTGTTCGATCTTAGTTCCCTTTGAAGCAATTAAAATATCATCTATAAATGCGTTAGCTTGAGGGAATTCCTTAATTAAATTATCAATTACTGTTTGGAATTCCGCCGGCCTTGACGTAAGCCCGTAAAATCCGTTTTTAAAACGATAAGTTCCCGTGGATTTCCCACGCACTGCTCGCTTGTTTTTTGTTTTAAGGCGACTTGTCCGTACGCATATGTGAAATCCAACGTTGTAAAATATACATTCCCCGCTTTTTTCTCCGCGATAATCTGACTTACTCCGTCTACTAGTTCGTCAATATTTGGCATTTGGTACTTATTCTTGTGTACCTGCTTGTTCAATTCTCTTGATTCCAGCGCTAATTTTATACTTCCATCTTTTTTCTACTGTAATCACGATAGGGGAGACGAAATACTTATCTGAGCACTCTTGTCTTTTTACGATATGCCCTTCATTTATCAGCCGATGAATTTCTTTATCCACCTTATCTTGTAGACTGATAGGCACCCTGTGCCCTTTTTGTTGTACAGGCCTCAAACTTTTGAAAAATTCAGCTCTTACTTTCGCATTCCGGATCTTCCCTATTCTAGTAAATAAATTTGGGTACAACTTACAGAAGTATGTTTGCAGTTCGTCATATTCCTCCTCCTCTTGACTGATCCCTTCCCCTGTGATTCCATCACTTTCTTTCGTTGGACTAACTCGAGGCCCAGGGTGACCATCAGATTGCGCCCCAGGATTGACTGATGATTTCCGGATATTACTGACACTTTGTGCTGGTGCTGCCCAGCCGTTTAATGATATCATCACTGTTACCTTCCCCAGTATGTTTATTCGGTTGTTATTGTAATCCAAGAATTCATCTTTTGAAGGCTGTAGTTGAATATTCGCCTTACCTAACGCTGTTTTTAGGTCCTTTATGCTGAAAATTGTCACTGGGGATCCACTATCTATCCACAACCACATCCTCTTTCCTGACACCTCGACCTGAACGCGGGCCCCAGGGATCTTCAGTTCAGTCTCATTCTTCTTCCTTTTTATTGACATTACCATGTAGTCGTCCAATCCTGACGTCATGGATTCATTTTTCCCGCTCCCCTGCTGGTTCACCCACGACACTGGTTCTTCATTCAAGTCATTTACGTTCTGCGTACTTTGATGATGCTCGTCCTCGTCCTCTCCATTGGTTAGTACCTCTTCTAATTCAAAATGTCCCAATTTTCGGCACGAGTTGCTTGTTGCTCCCTTTGCAGGACAACTCGCGATGTGATCAAGGGTAAAATTTGGTGCGTCGCAATTGTAACACCTACGGTTATTGCCGCTTCCCCCACTACTACTTGATCCTTGGGTGTATCCTCCACGTCCCCCACGTCCTCGACCTCGAAAAAATCCTTGTCCCCTTCTTATGTTACTTACCGGTTCCTGTTTTATTGAAATTGCCGGAGCTGTTGAAGCTGGTTTTCCCGTATATGATTTGTATGCGCGCTCAGCACGTTCATATGATAAGGCGATCCGGTAGACTTCCTCAGGTAACTTTGTTGATCGTGATAATTCTCGTTGGCAATCCGATTCCCGCATATTCATAATGAAAATATCACGAACATTTTCGGCCGCATTTGGAAAATCACATCTACCTGCTAGGGCGCTTAGTTCCGCGTGGAATTTTTCGAAAGTTTCGGTCTCACGTTGTTTTCGTCGGTAGAAAAGTCCCTGTTCATGAGTTACATTCCGCTCACGTTGGAAAACACTTTGCATCTCATCCAGGACCCGTGGGTACCGTACCGTTTTAATATTAACCGTCGGTTTTCGTGCTTTGAATATCCGTTGCGCCTCGTCTCCGATACAAAGGTATAGATTAGACTTTAACTTCTTTTCCGAATCGAGACGGTTTTTCCCATTG